CCAACAATTATAGAATGTAATAAACATAAAATTGTACATTACACATACACATTGTATGTTTATGACATTCTATAATTGTTGGATAGGCCAAAATTGACGAAACGCCCCTGAAGATGCTCTATTTTTTGAAAGATTTCTATATTTGTCTGAAGAGTATATAGAAGAAGAAGATGTAGACAGTTGTTCTGAAGAGGGATTATCCGATGAAGAATCCGTAACAACTTCACTTTCTGACTATTATGTAGCAAAAGATAAAACTACCAAATGGTACAAAATGAGAACGGCAACTTCATCTAAGACAAAAAAATTAACATTGTAAAAAAGCAGCCTGATGTCACTCATAGAGCCCGAAATATCAATAATGAGCAAGAAGCCTTTTTGAAAATAATAGACATTAATTTACATGATCGAGAATATTATATGCTGCACTAATAGATATATTGCTGAAATAAGAACACGACAAGTATATTCTAGAGAAGGAGACTGCAAGGATATAAACATAAACGAGTTTATGGCGTATTTAGGGTTGCTGAATTTGATTGGGATAAAAAAATCGCATTTTGCAAATGTCAGAGAAATTTGGGCAAGCGACGGAACAGGAATTGAGATAACAAGGGCTGTTATGAGTTACAAACGATTTTTGTTTATAACAAATTGCTTGAGATTTGATGATCGCACAACCAGATTTGAGCGCCGCAAAATTGACAAATTGGCTGCAATCTGTGACTTTTTTGATGCATTTGTGACCAATATTCAAAAATCCTTTAAACTTGGTGCATACGTTACAATAGAAGAAATGCTTCACCCTTTTCGAGGTCGTTGCAGTTGGGTGCAATACATACCAAGCAAACCAGCAAAATACGGCATCAAAATGTACGTTTTATGTGATACAAAGACATGTTGTACTTCAAATTTAGAAATATATTGCGGCAAACAGCCCGATGGTCCGTACGTTACATCCAACTCACCAACTGACATTGTAAAGAGACTTGTTTCTTCGATAAGGACAAACTGTAAATGAACACGAGGAAACAGTTTGTCTTCCAAAACGTGGAATTTGTCGTTCTTGTAACGCGGAAAGAAAAAGGACAACGGCATCCATGAAATGCGTTAAATGCAATTCTTTTACTTGCAAAAAACATTCACTTACTACAATTATGTGTAACTCCTGTAATACAAACAATGTGGATCATAGTTTTTAACTGTATATTGATTTATTTGTTTACCTAGACTAAAAAGTAAAGAACTTTGATGGTACACGAGGCAAATATCGAACACAGTAATTAATCAAATCTTGCCCAAGTACTTTCGATCACAAGATCATCCTCAGGGGCATCTGAAATAAGCCAAGACATTCTTGGCTTATTTCAGATCTACGTATTATCACATTACATTTTGTACTTCTCCGATATCCAGTTTGGACCTCTTATCCTTCGCATTGTGGTCAACGCTGCTGGATGTTGTGGTCAAGATTGGGGTAGAGCAAGATAGTTGCAAGTGGATGTGGATGGGTATCCTTTATACAGATGGAGGGTTGTGCAACTTAAATAAGTGATGGAATGTATGTTTGGATGTAGTTATAGGAATTCTGTCTGGAATCGTGATATATTATGCTTGTATCTAAGTAGCCTTGTATCTTCAATAACCTTACCCATTGATATCTAAATGTTCCTGATACCATAAGAAAAGGGTAATAAAAAACACAGATATCTTATAAAATATATGTATAAAAGTATATTAGCTTTACAGAAATAAATAATACAAAAATACAATAAAATGTATATAAAAAGTACAAAAAGTTCTATAAAAATTTTAATATATCATAAAAAACTATTAAATCATATATAAAAAGTTTACAATCACAATAGATAGGCCAATAAAAGCCAGAAATATCTAAAATCTTAAGTCTTTTGCAATATCTAGACACAATTATTAATGCTTTACAAATAAATAGTAGGGTAATTGAAGGAATGAGTTCTTGCACACTTCAAAATGTGGGTTAAATTTTTGGTTAAGTGACATACCATTCTGAAGCGACTAACGTCATGTTGTAGTTGTTTTTGAGGTTAATTCAGTTAGATTTTATAGGACAATTAAAGACATACCTCATTTACAAAACTGATAAAAATATTTTGCACCATTTTTGCACTTTTACTTAATATCATGTTCTTACATAATGATCATCCGCAGAATATTTAATAATTTATGGCAAAAATATTGTGCCATATTCATTTCTGTGACTTCTATTACAGACAGAGCAGTCTGTAGAGCTAAGTGATGACACTATCTTTGTTTTCGTTGTTAGGTGTGTCTCTTATATTAAGTAAGTATAGCGGCGTTTTTTATCGGGAGAGCGCATGGGGAGTTTCAATGCGCTAGAGAGAGAGACAGATCGAAAAACCGTAAAACATGTTGTCACTGCTCGTTGCTGGCATACTCAGTCTATGTTAATATATACGTCTATGATTTTTTATCACTTAAACATACTATTTTTACTTCAACCTGAGACTTATTTTGATAGATTCGCCTTATCGTGTTTTTTAGATGTATATCATTTAAGTTGGCAGCACTGTTTGTAGTAGCAGGCTCTTTTACAACTCTCAGCTGCTTTATATTCAGTATTGTAGCCCATTTCAGCATGAACAGATAGCGACTAGAACAACGTTTGCAAATTGAGAAGATTTACTTCGAAAAACATGGTTTCGTTTGTAAAATGTATCGGTTTTATGGTTGATATAATCGTCTAACAAAACAATTAAATCGATTAACGATGAAGCATTTCTACACCAAGTTTACTCGAAGTGATAACATGCATTCATTCCAGAAATCGTACTGAAGAAACTACTGCTGCTGTAGATCGTAGTATGGAAAGACACGAATGATACATCTTCCATGGCTCACAACATTTGGATCCACTTTATGGAATATTTTGTTAAAATATCTTTATAAAGTTGAAAAGTTGGAGTCTGTACTGTAGATTTTTCATTCTAAAATTTCTCCTGAAATTTCCACAACTTGAAATCGTAGGCTTTCACGGCCAGAGTCAGAATTATAGTTTATTCGTCTTCCGGGTTTGGACCGTGTCATTTGTGAGTGACCCAAAAGTGGGTTCATCTCGACGTTTCGCTACAATTGTATGTAGCTTCTTCAGGAGAACAAAGAAAAAGAAAAAGAAGACAGGAAGATGGGTAGTTAGCAACGGTTACCATTGGTAGTTAGTATTCGCCTCTGGTTGCGTTGAGTAACTGAGTTACCGTTGCTAACTACCCATCTTCCTGTCTTCTTTTTCTTTTTCTTTGTTCTCCTGAAGAAGCTACATACAATTGTAGCGAAACGTCGAGATGAACCCACTTTTGGGTCACTCACAAATGACACGGTCCAAACCCGGAAGACGAATAAACTATAATTTCCACAACTTTTTTAGCTGATTATGATATACTTGTAGCTTGTTTTTTTACATCAGTCGATTTCTTCATTTGAGTGTGGTTCCAGCTATTGTGGTATCCCCAACACTTAAACAGTTAACCCCTTACCGCGTAGTAGGTCATATATGGCACAATACTTGTTTTATACCTAACCGTTAGAGATAAAATCTTATTTTAAAGTGTTTATGCATGACCTGTCCATATAAAGCACATATTTCGTATAACCAGTAATAAAGCGCCATCTCAATGGGCAGCTAAAGTTCCGAAAGAGGAATTTTTAGCGATAGATGAACAAATAATTCCAACAAAGGCGCGTTCATTTCTAAAACAATAAAATCTGCAAAAACCCCACAAAAGGGGATATAAAGCGTTTGTTCTTAGTGGTGTCAACGGATTTTTCTACGATTATGAAATTTTTGTAGGAAGCCAAATTAATGTTGTAGCCGATGGTTTTCCTGATTTAGGAGTAAGTTCAAATGTGGTTCTTCGGCAAACACAACCAGTACCAAGGCTTATAAATTACAAAATATTCTTTGATAATTGGTTCAACAGCGTCCCATTGCAAATTTATCTAACGAAACAGGATATGTTCCCACTAGGAACAGTTAGAATAAACAGAGTGCCAAACGGTAATATGCCAAAAGAGGCTGAATTAAAAAAGAACGGCCGAGGAGCTATGGTAAAGAAATTCGCCACAATTGATGGTACAAAAATATCTGCTGTTACATGGTATGACAAAAAATTAGTAAATATTTTATCAACATATGCTGGAAGTATGCCAACAGTTGAAGTTAAACGGTTTTCAAAAAAGAATAAGACACATATAATGGTTCCATGACCAAAAGCTGTAACGATCTACAACAAGTATATGGGGGAGTAGATCTCCTAGATTTAATGTTGGGATATTATAGGATCAAACTCAGATCCAAAAAATGGTACATGCGAATATTTTTCCATATTATTGATTTGATGACTGTAAATGTGTGAATTCTTTAAGGAAGAAGTAACAATGAGCATAATAATTTAGCTCTGGCAGATCTCAAAATTGCAATAGCAGTTCAAACATGCAAATATCGCTGTGGTTCAAAAAGCTTCATAAAATGCGAGAAGTGTATTGTTTTTCTTTGCTTAAACAAAGATAGAAATTGTTTTTACAACTTTCACACTGAATAATTATTATAATTATAAAGTAATAATTGTTATTTTTTTTTTATTAATTTTCCTTGATGATTCTTGTTTTAATGTATAGTGTGTCATTTTTTATATTCATACCTTAATCTTGAAATCAAGTTAGTAATCAGAGGTTTTTTAATAAAAAATAAAAAAAAACATGCAGTAAAGGCTTAAGTCATGTTTTGATATTCAAGATAAACAGCTCTGCTACTGGCCTTTTTTACTGCTATTTTTTGTTGGTTGATTATTAGATTACGAAGATCAATTGGATAGCGCTAATCAAGAAGGAACCAAGCGACATTTGACAAAAAATAAGTTAATAGCACCAATAGATAGCCAGATAGTCACTTTATATGTGTAAAAAAATCCGTATGGCTACGGACCTTCCTAGCGACAGCTGTAGAAAAAAGGTCCAAGCGACAATCCGAAAATAGGGCAATTTTCTTTAATATAAAAAGGCCCAAGCGGTGGTACTTTGTAGAAAAATTATTGTCGCTTCGATCTTTTTAAACTTAATGTTGATTATGGTTATATTTAAATATCTGATTTATAATGCCTCTCTGTTTCAAAAAACAACAAAGTGCAAAAATATGTGCTTTAATTATTAGAGAACAGTGTTTTGTTTGCAGTGGACATTTTTCTATCAAAAGGAATGTTGTATGTCACTTACCACAACCCTCAATCGTATTTTGTTCATAGTTATCTGACTATAATTTAGTTTCGTGCCTAAAATGCCTCCTCAGTGGCCTCACAACCGTAGGAGGAGGAGGATTACAGTCTGATTCGTCATCTCCACTATCTACATCTCCGTCACTACTATTAGTGGAAGGAATCGGCTGAATAGGTCTTCCTACTCTCTGCCTTCTGTAATATTTGAATTCTCGGGGTAGTGTGTAGGAACGCGGCAAAGAGACTTGGCTCTCCAAATCGGAAGACGTGTGGGGGACGGGAACTTCTACTATTTCCGGTTCGGGAATTGTACATTCGCAATAGAGGTATCTAGGAGCCAGAAGAAGTTCGGGGGTTCTGCTTCTGGGTGCTCTTGGTGGTGGTCTACGGGTTATGATCTGAAAGAAAAAAGTCGAATTCGTTTTAAGATTTGACGGCATTAATATTTCTGTAACATAAAATCATATATTTACTTTCTATAGTAACAAATCAGTTTATTACAAAAGTTTTATAGAATAGGAGGTGAAAATGTGTAAGATAACTTAAGATATTATTTATTAAAGATACAAGTCTTGAAAATACAGAAAGAAAAAAGGGAGAGAGAGAGAGAGAGAGAGAGAGAGAGAGAGAGAGAGAGAGAGAACCTCTACTGGAATCAAAGGGCACAAATCGTAATAGATAACGAACCCAGTCCAGAAATTGAAATCAGAAGAAGAGTTAGGCAGGGATGTATTATGTCCCCATTACTATTTAATGTATATAGTGAAGCCATTTTTGAAGAAGCATTACCATCTCAACGTGAAGGAATAATAATTAACGGAAGATCTATTAACAACATAAGATATGCAGATGACATCATGATTATGGCAAGCTCTGCTGGACAACTCCAATTATTGCTAAACAAAAAAACAGTTTCTGTGAAAAATATGGACTAAAAATGAATATAAAAAAGACCAAATACATGATAATAACAAAGAAAACAAATATAGCAACAAACATACATTTGGTAAATGTACCGATACTAAGGGTTGATAAATACAAATGCTTAGGAACCTGGATTTCAGACAATAATGATCAAACAACCGAAATACGAGCTAGGATAGAAATAGCAAGAAATGCGTTTGTAAAAATGAAAACAATTCTCTGCAACAAAGATCTTAGATTAGAACTGAGAGTAAGAGCACTGAGATGCTACATGTTTTCAATACTGCAATATGGACTTGAAAGAAGAAGAAGACATAAGAGGAAATTTTCTATACTATACCCAGGATTTATATATAAATGACAATACTTACCCCATAATTCGCCAAATTATTCAGTGATGACAAACTAAACAGCTGAGGTTCAACGTGGCGTTTGGCCCTTGGTATCGGTTGTCTATCGTCGAATTCTGCTCCTTCTGGACCAACTAATTTACCCTGCTTTATTTCTTCTTCGATTATTTTGAGTTCCGCCAACTGTTTCTGTTTTTTCTCCTGAAGTTTTTGGTGGATGTTTACTCGGGAGCCTACACTGCTACCTGAAAAATGCAAAAAATTAAAGTTAATATTTAACACAAATTATTGTTGTGGAAAGTAGAAACAATGTTAGTTTATTTTTTGGAAAATGCACAATTTTAAGACAGATTTGGCACTCAACTAAGTACAAAGGTTTTACCTATGATTATCTAAGGATTCGTGAAACAATGTTTGGACATTTTTAGAAAAAAAAAAAACATATATGGATGGTGTTATGCAAAAAAGGGTCAACCCACACAAGTCTAATTTTGAGATAAACAGCTTCAAAGTTTATAATCTGTTGCAAATCACATATTTTATTATAGTATACCTGTAATATACCATTATATTAGTAAAATTTTGAATTACTTTTTCAACGTAATTAAAAAAAAATACCAATTATTTCTATGTAAAAAAATAAAATGTTGGATAAATACTTTTTCCTTTTCAGATTATACAAGAAAGAATTTTTTTAACACTGTTATATTTAATTATTTTGTTAATACAAAATGTTCTATAAAAGTAAATAATTTTAATCCTCTTCATCAAAGTCCACATTTTCTACCTCAAAACCATCAACATCATCAATAAAGTCACCCTGTTCAGCTGTTGTTAAAGAGATTATAAAATGGTTTTAGGTCTTGTGGTACTATCTTTAATATTTCTTTGAGATCTTTAATTTCTTCTTTGAAAAGTGGTTTACCTGTTGGCCATAACTGCTGAAGTGACCTGATATTTGAAAGTGAACATTTTCCACTATAAAGGAGAAACGGAATCGACCACTGGAGGAATAGGTTTATTAGTACCCAAAAAAATTACAGAAAAATATACAGAGCATTGACTGCATTTCCCCAAGAGTTATGTATATAAATATAAGACTAAATAAGAGATACAATCTGAAAATAATCCAGCGATTACGAAGATGAAATTGTTGAAGCCTTCTATGAGGAGATCGAAAGAGCAAAAAAGCAGGAGCCGGCTTATTACAATCTGATAATGGGAGATTTTAACGGGAAACTCGGAAGGAAAATGGACGAACAAGAAGTGGCAATCGAAGATTTTGGAATCGGAGTAAGAAACGAAAGAGGCGAAATGCTTACCAACTTTCTACTGCAACACCACGTTCCATCTGGATGTGGGCTAGTCCAGGCGGAAGAACTAAGACCGAATATAATTATATAATAACAGACAAAAAGCAAATTATTCAAGATGTCACTGTACTCAATATACTATCAGTAGGAAGCGACAACAGACCAGTACGAGCTAGAGTAACGATAAACCTACAAAAAGAAAAAGCAAATATGATAAACAGTTGCAAACTCATAGTTTGGAATTCACCAAATCAGTCAGAAGCATACATAAAAAATATGGCCGAAACTTTACAGAGTAATAATCCCAAACCCCTAAGTATCGACGATTACAATAAATTAATATCAGACTCGGTTAGAAACGCACAACTCAAATTTTGCAAGAAAAATGACACCAATAGTGAAAAGATTAGCAAAGATACAAAAGCTCTCACGGAAATACGACGAAACCTAAGCGAGAACGAAAAGGGAAACAAAGAAGAATATAGAAATCTAAATAAAAGAATTTCAGCGGAAATTAGAAAAGATGTAAGAAGATATAATACTAATGTAATTACTCAAACAGTAGAAGAGAACAAAGGTTTAAAGATAATGAAAAGAAAACTCACACAAAGTAAAAAAGAAATATATAAGCTGAGAGATAAAGACGGAAAGGCAACAACAGATAAACAAAACATTCTGAAAATAACCAGAGAGTATTATAAAGACCTCTATACCAGCCAAAGATCACAAGACAATTTCCCGACACGAGTAAAGACTCTCATAAATCAGGGTTCAGAAATACTTTTACCCATAAATGCTTACATGCGGGTACGATTTCAAAAGACTGGAACAATGCAGTGCTAGTCTTGTTACACAAAAAAGGCGATATTACTAAATTAGAAAATTACAGACCCATCAGCTTCTTGACACATACTGTGGTCTGTGGTTTAACTGCTTTTTACATAACACCATCCATATGATCGAATAGTTGGTTAGAACTGTATATATCTATAACAAAATGGACAATGAAGTATATACCTTCATTTTCACTTGAAGATGGCAAGGGTCGCCTCCAGAATGGAACAGTGACTGGACCTAAACCAGGCGGCGGTACAAATGTAGTTGGTTTCTTCTTTTTTCGATACAGAGCAGATGCAGAGGGACTACTAAAACGGCAATTGAACACACCAGGTGGATGGGACGGTTTCTCCATGAGACGTTTCACATGGAAAAACTTGTAGTACACAAGCATAAATATTATGCCTGCGGCAAATAAGGATACCTGAAAGGCATTATTATTATAAACTATGTTGAAATAAAACTGTGGATATTACAAATGTATAACTTAATCCGCAATACCAAATTATACCATCGAGTCATCGAGAAAAATTGTAAACTAGGTTACGGATTTTACATTTAAATAATACTGGTTGGAAGTTCAGCCACTTCCCATATTATAATAGTCAGTGCACATATACAAAATTTTATTATAATATACGAGAAAAATATCAATATCATTCATAAATGGCTTACGGGAAAAACTCAAAACCATAGGAAATAAATGAAACATTTCAACAACATTTAAAAAACAGACATATTGAGATCTAATTTATCTAAAACTAAACCTAATAATGAACAAGAAAGAACAATCAATGATACATCATTTATGTTTTAAAATAACGTTGAACATTGGTGTTATTGCAATTCCCGCCTACAGTTACTATACATTTTCCGAACTTCTATCACTGAGATGTTTTGGCTGCTTTTTATTTTTTTTTTTGCCTTTCTAAAATATATTTGTTAATTCCACTGGTTCTCCTTTGATTTTTGTTTTTCTTCTCTGTTCTGATAATGGCTTTTATTTTCTTACAAAAGATTTTTGTAATAATGTTTCTGTTTGGCTCCCTTTTTTAATTCAAGACTATATCTTTTCTTTCCTTTTGTTAAATTACCACACCCCTGTGTATTATGTGCCTTCTACATATATGTTTGTACTTCCCTACAATTGTTATTAAATGTTTCTTGTTTGTTTATTTAAAATAAACCCAAACTTAAAAATAACCAATTCATAAACTTCCTATTTGATATTTTTACCAAATTGGCCAAAATAAATTGGTTTATTAATATAGCCAATCAAGGTAATTTATTTATTAAACAATTAGTATAAGAAGTAAAAAGATTAATATTATTAAACTTACTGTTAAAATTGGCACCAATTCCCAATGTGGAGGTCTTACATGCCACACAGCTGCAACCCAAGCACCTACCAACATACAATTTTCAAGTAACATAACTACATAAAATATCCCCATTGTTCTTCGGTGTGGCTTATCTTGAAGATTTATATAAGCCAAAATATAAATAGCTGCTATAAGGGCACATACTCCCAGTTTACTTCCCCTCTGTCCGTGGAATGGACTTCTAGGCGAGAGTAACCACAGGAACATGCATGCCCAGTGGAGGGCTAGTACTAAAAATACCCAAGAATTGTAACTAGCGGCATAGGCTGATAAAGCTAAGGCACGTGCTGTTACAGTGCCTCCTCTCCATAAAAGTTGAGAAACTACACCCAGCCATGTAAGTACTAAGCGGTCGATACTTTGTATGTGTTTGCTGAATGAAGCTAGGGCCCAACATATTGAAAACAGGGAGAGAGCTGAGGAAACTTTTATTAGATCCGTTTGGGGACCACCTTCCACTCCTAAAAATAGAAATATCTCAATACTTGTTTTATGCAGTTAATTAATTGAAAATTAGAGCTATTTTTTTTTGTAGTAAAATCTCTTGCAAACTTCTTTTTTCTATAGTTGTCTTGGCGATATTTGAGTGTACATAAAATAGAGCAACCATCAATTGGTTGTTATGAGCTATCCATATTATATATAGTAGAACTTCGTTAAGTTAAGAGCGTAGGCACAAAATTTCGGGCCAATGCTTTTTAAATGCATTCATTTTTTTCCAATCCTGAGAAAACTAACAAATATTTTTAAAACATTTAAACACACAATAAAAGATTACATTATTACCGAGGGCCAAAAGTCCCTTAGAATAAACAAAAAGTTTTTTTGAATGAGATATTTGAAATTAAAAATCACACTAAATTTTCTCTTCTTTTTCACCCCTGTAACTTATTAAAATAAACATTATAGAAGTTGTCAGGGACTTTCGGCCCTCAGTAATAATGTATTCTTTCATTCTGAGTTCAAATTTTTCAAAAATACTTATTAGTTTTCCCAGGATTCGAAAAAAAATGAATGCATGTAAAAAGCATTGGCCCGGAATTTTGTGCCTAGGCTCCTAAAGACCAAGTGAAACACAAAATTCTTTTAAGAGTTTTTAATTTTTCAATTGTTTATGTTAAACGAAAAAAATGTGGTAAAGGGAGTTAACATGTAGTTTAAAAAAAACTGAAAAATTTTTTAATATGAATATAAAAGAATTTACATGAAGTTGGCCAAACAATCCTTCATAATTACTATACTATAAAAATATAAGTAAGTCACTTACCAGGTAACAATGTAAGTTGTAGAAGCAACATTGGGGCAGCTTGTAAGAACCCATGCACTATTCTTAAAATACACAAGTCTCTGACTTCACGCTTAACACTAGCTAACTGAACAGGTACAAGGAGTCGAGCGTATCGCCATAAAACACCCAGTTGCAAAATATGAAATATTATCACAATCCATTTCTGCCAACTGGTACTTGTTTTGCATTGTAGATACCAGTGCATTGATAGAACTTGGGAGACAACTGTACTAATGATTATGGCTGCCAAGCATTGAGAAAAGAGCACTATTAAGCCCTTTTCGTAGAGAGCATATACAACCAGGATATCAAATACCAGATCACAGAAATATGCTGCAAGGGACACTACATTGAAGAGCAAGTCGCATAGTGGCAAGAATTCTGCCATGTCTCTAAATACATCACCTCATGCTGAAATGAAAAGTATTATTAATGTGGTGCTTATTAATTTTTTGCAGAAAAACAAATTAAGCTGTAATTGTAAATTGCTGTAAGTGTATTAAATACATACATCTCTGAAATTTCTAATATTCGTCATTGATAACATAATCAAGGTGCAAAAATCAACCCCTATTTACATTTACTTACTTGCCCTCCAGTATTTTTCTGGGCTACTTTCCACATTCCTAACCTCCTTTCATCTTAGAATCCCTTTAAAAAATGTTTAAAGTTCTGTACAAAGATACCGAACAATTTTGGGACATATTGCAATAAAACAAAATTGTATTTTCCATATAAACTTATAGAAACAATTTAAAACTTCTAGTTTTAACAAATTACTTGTTGAATGTTGTGGCGCAAACAGTAACTTTGTCAACCACCTGTCACTACTTTGGAATGTGCTAAAGCAAGGCTTAATGTTATAGTGACCGCATGACGTAACAAAAGCTAAATAATAAATTTTAAACAATCTATAGAGATTTCGCATATTTGTTCACTATTATATAGATATTTTATAGAAAATTTAATTAATTTTCTAAGTAAATTACAGGGATTTTCGATTGTCTCATTTAATATTCCTTATTTAAAAAATTACTTTTTATGAATTTGACAACTGACATATAGTAAGGAATAATAAATTTTAAATAAAAGTGAAAACTATCTGGAATATCTTATTAAACTAATTAATATATGCTCTACTATAAAGCACTTTTATCAAATTGTAGTATTAATGAACTATTTATCAATATTAAGGTTTAAAAATATGTATAAGGGTAGTTCTACATCGTATTGAAATAACAAGTGTATTTCATTAAAAATTTGATTCCTATACGTTTTACCATTGGTTCTTTTAAAAATATATTTAAGTCTCCACCAATGACACGCGAACTAGAAAAAAATACCTGGGTAACCAAAACATTACTATAAAAATAAAATAAAAAACATGTAAATATTATTTTTATATTTCGGAAAATGAATTTGGATAGTTTAAAGCAAAAATTAAAAAGGATTGCAGGTATTGGTATTACAGGTAGTAAAAAATTATATTGTTTTTTGAAATGTGAGATTTTTTAGATAAACAAAAACCTGATAAGAATAATGAAGAGCTAGAAGATACTTATTTTCAGGAATATCTGAGTGAATGGAAGAAAAAGGATGTCCGAACGAAGGAAAGAATTCCAAAGTTTTTTAATAAGATTCCAAAAGAAAATGAACCACTTCGGGTCAAATTGAGGGAGGAGAGCAGATCAAATTTATTTAAGAGAAAAAATTTACAGCTTTTAAACAACAATGAACTAAAAGAATTGTGGGTGCTTTTAGATCAGAACCAAAGTAATAAAGAAGAACAATTGATTACTTATGCAGACTTTCAGAAAGTAGCTACTTTAGCAGGGGCAAAAGTCAAGCCATATTTTACTTCAGTCCTGTTTGCCAAATTACAACAAGGTGATCCTCAAGGAAGAGTATCAATCATGTCATTATTTAACTATGTTATGAGAAAAGTTTGTTTAGATCAGACTAGAATTGGTTTGTCATTATATGATGCTACTGGCCAAGGATATCTTACAGAAGTAGATTTAGAAAACTATATTACAGAGTTACTACCAACTCTCCCACAATTAGATGGATTAGAGAAATCTTTTCATACTTTTTATGTATATACAGCTGTGAGGAAATTTTTATTCTTTCTTGGTGTTGTTAGAACAGGTCGAGTAAGAATTTTAGACATATTAGCCTGTTCGTTTCTAGATGATTTGTTAGACTTAGGAGATCAAGAACTCAGTAAAGAATTACAAGAACAAAATTGGTTTAGTGCTCCTTCAGCATTAAGAATTTATGGACATTATTTGAACTTGGATAGAAATCATAATGGTCTTTTAAGTAAGGCTGAGTTTGCCGGATATGGATCAGGAACCCTTACACAACCTTTTTTGGATAGTGTATTTCAGACGTGTTTGACTTACGGGGGAGAAATGGATTACAGAACATATCTGGACTTGGTGCTTGCATTGGAGAATAGAAATGAACCACAAGCCTTGGCGTATTTGTTCAGGATATTGGATATTAAGAAATGTGGATACCTGGATGCCTTTACACTGAAATATTTCTTTAGGTAATATTTTTTGGTAAATAATTATCATTTATAATGGTATATAAATGTCTGCTATGTTTGTAAATTAATTACTGCACGAAAATGTTATTTATATATGATTTTACCACATATATTTTTGTGTGGGCTTCTTTTTTCTGTTAATAGGAAAAACATTGATAAACATTTTTTATATGTGCCAAAAAGAGACTAAATGTGAACTGGAAAATATTTTAGTCTTTTAAGTAGTTGGTAGTCAATAAATACTTTTAAAAAGTTATATTTTTATCAAGTTATGATATTATAAATGACAGATCAAGAACAATGTCCAGTACAATATGAACCATTTCTATATTTTTATTATTTATTATATTCAAATAACAACGATTTTTCTTCAGTTTCGAAATATGACTATTTGCTGGGTGAAAACTACTTCGAATTTTCTTTGATTTATAATAAGAAATTTAATCTATACATTATTTGCATTTATAGATCACCTAGCTCTGATACTGAACTATTTTTTCAGAGCCTGCTAAATTTGTTAGATATTCTGCCCATTAAAAGCAGAAAAATTGTATGTGGTGATTTTAATATTGACTATGCTGCTGTTTGTGCGACCCAACTGTCTTTGGTAACTATTTTTGAATCATATGGTCTCACAATGCACGTTAATTCTCCAACAAGAATCTCAAAAACATCATCCTCGACAATTGATTATGTGGTTTCCGATTTTCCACCCGCTGACGTCCATTCTACAGTTATTAGTGGGGGGATTTCTGATCATGAAGCGGTATATAGTAAGTTTAGCAGTTTACAAACACCTCACTCAAAAACCCGACGATTAGGTAGGATTTTTTCCACTCAAAACTTTCGTAAATTCTATAATTCATGCTTGACTTCTGACTGGAGTTTTTCTTTTGGGGACATTGACTGTAATGCTAGTGATTTTCTAAATAGACTTGTATCTATTTTTAATAAAGCATTTCCTCTATTAAACATCAGGCCAAAACATAACAAACCTTTGATTACCAAAGGCATTCGCATATCTGCGAAAAATATGTGTTCTCTGCTATATATTAAAAAATTTAATGACAGTATCCCCATCTCTGATTATATCAACAAGTACAGAAAATGCTATATAAAACTACTCAAAGAAGCCAAAAAATCCTACTTTCATAATCGCTTAACAAGCTCCAAAAATATTTCAAAAGAAACTTGGTCAATAATAAACGATTTTCGAAATAAAACCAGTACAGCAAATCAAACCTTTTCTTTTCCTAACCCCGAAAATCTAAATGATTACTTTGTTAATGTGAGTAAAAATATAACCTCAACTATTTCGCCACAACAAGATCCAGTTTCCTATCTCTCTAATTCAAAAAACATTGCTGATACCTTCTTTTTAAGACCAGTTGATAAGACGGAACTCATTTCAACAATTCGTAGTATAAAAAGCACATCGTCCTGTAGTACAGATGGATTATCTATTAAAATTTTCTTAAATCTACCGCATAATGTTTTGGAGATCATGGTCTCGCTAGTAAATGATTCCCTTGAAAAAGGTACATTCCCTACCTGCCTAAAGACTGCCATCGTCATTCCTCTTCATAAAGGTGGAGAAAAATCTGATGCCTGCAACTATAGACCTATTGCCTTGTTACCAGCACTATCAAAAATTATTGAAAGACTTATAAAAGTTTGACTTATGCCCTTTCTCCTTAAATATAATATTTTATCACAAAATCAGTTCGGCTTTTTGTCTAATAAATGCACTAGTGATGTCATATTTTCTGTATTACATGATGTATATCTATCACTAAACAGTAACCTCTCCTCCGCCACCGTTTTCTGCGACTATTCCAAAGCCTTTGACTGCGTAAATCACGACATTCTATTAAAAAAATTAACTTTCTATGGAATTCGGGGTGTGTCTTTGAACTGGTTCAAAACTTACTTGGTAGGTAGGAAACAATTGGTTAGAATAAATGACACCGACTCTAGTTGTAAAGATATTGAGTGTGGAGTACCGCAAGGTTCAGTATTAGGTCCCATTCTTTTTTTACTTTTCATTAATGACATCACTTACTTGAAAATTAAAGGGAAATTTTTTCTATTTGCTGATGATACCAGTATTACTTGGAGCAGCTCTGATATTTCAACACTTCATTCAATTATAACCGCTGATTTACTTATAATCAAGGCTTGATCAGACTCCAACTTACTTAGCTTTAACGTGGATAAGACTGTAGCATTATCTTATAAAGGAGTCATGCAACCCTTGCTTTTGAATGAGAGCCAAATCAATATCGTAAATTCCGTGAAATTTCTAGGTATTCTCATTGACAGTGATCTCAAATGGTTCTTGCATACTGACTCCTTAAGGAAGAAACTAGCCTCAGCTTGCTTTGCAATAAGATCTGTTTCGAAGGAACTAAATTTATCTTCTGCCAAAATGGCATATTTCTCATTGTTCGAGTCCCATCTTCGATATGGGCTTCCATTTTGGGGTTCTAGTACAGCGGCCCAATTTGATACTATTTTTAAGTTGCAAAAAAGAGCAATCCGTTATCTATTTGGTCTCAAACAAACAACTCATTTCAAGACCTACTTCAAAAATCACGGAATTTTGACGCTTCCCTCTTTATTTATTTTGGAAACGGTTTGTTTGATTCGAAAGCATCTAAACATTTTTCCCGATAGACCTGACCATGGCTACTCCATTAGAAATTCGGATTGTAACGTTTATTTGCCGATCCCGTCCACTCAGCTAGTAAAGAATTCTATTCTATATCGTGCAAAGAAACTTTATAATCACCTTCCAAAAGAAATTAAATCCGCAACATCCTTCATTAAGTTTCGTAAGGTGACAAAAATCTATCTCTCAGAAAGACCATATTATTCAGTTGACGAGTTTCTTAATGTATAACAAAGAAACAAAATTAGTATTGTTTATAATTACATTTGGGTGTCTCAAGCAGTGGCTACAATTTGTCTCATTTGTTGTTGTCTGTACAAATTATGTAGGTTATACAATAATTTTACTAATTTAAAATTGTGTTATTCTGTTTTTTACTATATTTGTTTTTGTTTTATACTTTTTGTACTATTTGACTGATTTATTTTTTAGCTTTGTCCATAAAATTGTTCAATAATTTTCAGTGACAATAAAGCATATTTCTATTCTATTCTATTTAAAAAGACATTTATTCTTTAGACAGCAAAAAGCTTATGGCAGAAAATTAATTTTATAAATTTGTAGTACATATAACTCAAATTAATAAATCTTTTCAGAGCAATCCAAGATCAAATGAAGGCACATGGAGCAGAACCAGTATCTTTTGAAGATGTTAAAGATGAACTGTTTGATATGGTACGACCCAAAGATCCTGAAAAGATTACTCTTGATGATCTCTTAGCCTGTGGCCATGGTGAAACATTTGTTAATATTTTAATAGAATTCCATGGTTTTTGGGCATATGAGAATCGTGAATCTGTTTCTTCAGATCCTTCACAGGATTAATATTAATACTTTTATATAATAAAATTTTGTATTATTAGAATTTTTATTTAATATTGTTTATGTATTTTACCTTCTCTTATCTGTCTTTTTATTTTAATCATTCATTCATTTTGTATGCTCTATTGAATAGAAATCAGTGATTTTTTCTCCATATTTACTGAGTTTTGGTATATAGATAATTTTCACCTGGCTGCAGAAGGACTGGATATATTCCATTCATTCTGGGTAACTTGAAATTTGTTTATACTGTACTTAATTCTCTGAGGCCTCATAATTTCGGTAGTCAGCTGCATGTCACAGCAGTGCATTGCAGTTAGCAGTAATAAACTTTTCTGAAGAATTTCTGCATAATATTTGTCACAAAGACTTTTAAATTTTAGAGCTGCAGGATTCTGTTCTAATTCAGAAGTCCCTTTTGGCTCTACAGATATTGTACTGCATAATTTTTTTAATTTATTTTTCTTTTGTTTTCTTGTTCTCTGGGCAGCTTTCGTGGTTAACTGTCTTAATGGTCTCACTTACTACTTCCACGGCCAATTCGAGACCCTTCATATCTCTAATGTCACCTATTCTTCCCTCGAGAGAGCTTCCGAGTATGTTTTATAGCTTTCTCAATTTGTCTTCCTTAAATTTCTAAATTTTGATACTACCAGAGTTGTAGTGACAATATCAAAGCGAATTTACCTGTGATCGGAACACAATGTAAAGAAAAACGTTTCGTCATATGTCGATTTTAATGTTATTGTTTACGTTTGTATTAAATTTGGATTAAACTTAATTTTTATTTTTTTATAAATCAAGGTAGCATGCATATACATTGTTTTAAACCTCTAAATATCTCCCCGCTATTAGACATATCCTCTAACCTATATTGTAGAATGCTTTAAATACAGTGACGTTTGATCTCTTCTGCGTTACAACCAACCTGAAGCCTGTGCGAAGCGTTTTAGTTGGGAAGCAGTTTGTTACTAGAGTGGCGAGTGTTGTTTGCTGTAATTTAATTGAATAGGTATATGCAGAAACAACGCATGTCCAAAAAAAAAAACGAATTTTTCAAGAGATGCAAACAACATTACTTATATTGCAAACGAAAATAGATTTAAAAAAAAATCATAAGTAAAGGTATTTTTAACATGACACAATAATGGTTTTAGTTTACAAATAAAAATTGTAAGTAATTTCTATGATAATTTTTTTAAGTAGACATATGAGCGTTCTGCATAGCATTGATAAAATTAATAGATACAAGATAATAGCTATTTATAAATAAATTCAACATTTCAACAACATTCAAAACAACAAACACGTTGAGATCTATTTTGTCCAAAACCAAACCTAAGAAAGGACAAAGAATTGCATTTATAAAATACCTTGTGAATGCGATCAGTCTTATTTAGGTGAATCATCAAGGCCATTAAATGTTAGAATAAGTGAACATCAATCTTATATTAAAAATAGAGAATTTGATGTAGTCCTAAAAGAAACGGATGGTAAAAAAAGAAAAATCAAAGAAGCGGCTCTAATTATGCTAAATGAGGCCAATTGTGTCGCAAATTCCTCGGCAGAATGTAGTAGGATCTGGTTACCAATATTGAAAGAGGAAGTAATTAATATGAAAATACCAGTATTAGTAAGTCAGTAACATATAGAGGATACATCATTTATGTTTTTTAAATAACGTAACATATAAAATCAGATTTTGATGTTTGTTGAAGGTAAACTAAATTCACGAACAAATACTTACAATGTCGGAATAGTATTATGAGGTTTTTTTCCTGGTTTTTCCCTCATAATTTACTATGGAATCACTAACAGGAGAATTTTACTGTCATCATGTCATGTGTTTGTCTTTTTAAAGACGAATTTCATGCTATGATTTTTTCTGACGGATATTCTCAAGTTAAAGTTGATTTCATGTAATCGAATGAACTATCTTATAAGTAAAGTCGTCCCAGGAGCGCAACTCAACAATATTGGCAATATCATTTTAAAGTCGTCTACTTTAAAGTGCATAATGTATGTCTGAATTGTCAATATAAATGAGTCAGATAAAATTAAATTATTAGAAGAATTTTTCACTATGTAACAAAAAACAAAATTTGTTTAATTTATTGTTTGTATTTTGAGAACGATTTCCGAAGTGGAAATTGAAACGTCAATAAACGTATTTTTATCTTAAAAAAAAAATAAATAATAGATACATTTAACTCATACGCTAAATTTCATTCATAAACCTTACAAAAAACTCTTAATAGTTAAGTATTAGCAGTAGTAGTTATAAAATTCTTTGTATTGTTCTTCTAAAAATACGAAACATTTCTTGATGTCCTCCAATTTTTTCAATTTGATGGGCACTTTTCTTAATGGATAGGCAGGGTTCGAAGGTAAAACGATACCAATTTTTCCAGGCTGTTGTAGCTGAAATGTATGTTTGAATGTGCCATCTATAAACTCGGAAGCAGTAACAATCCCCCTTTTCCACTCTCGTAAATAGACTGAAAATTTGAAGTGTATTTTTGCATTGAGTGATGTACTTCTGAAAACAGTTTCATCTGATAAGCAGTTTTCTTATATACAGTAGGCCACAATCTTTAAAATTAATCAGATCTTCTGTTTTTACTTCTTTTACAGAAAATTTTCTTATGTTACCTACTGCTAGTTATATTCATTTCCATTATTTGATAGACCATTAAATTCTATGGAATTTTCTCATGTTTCTCTTTACAGTTTTAAAATCCCTATCACAGGGGAGAATGGAATGTCCTCTAACTGGAAAATAGCGCATAATTTTCGAAAATCTAGCACTGTTCGTTAGAGAAAGGAGCATGCGAATGAGTGTGTTATTTTTATTTTGTCCCCAGCAGTTGTCAGCATATAAATAAAGTTCGTTTATATTGTCTGAAATTTCGTTTAGGTAATCCAAAAGAAACGATTAAATTTCATTACCGGTGTTTTACCTTCTTCGTGGTCAATAAACATTCTAGCAATATTACCTTTGATATTGTGGATACAGAGACTGTTAATTTTTGATAATAAAAGACCTTCTCTACAGGCGTTTTTGGCAACTGAATATTCTGCATAAAGTTGAATGCTAGTGCTAATATGTTACTATTGTTGGGACCATCATTTCTATTTTTCAATATATTGTAAAAAAATTTTTTCCGACGCTTATGGACCATACGTTTCGCCACTGCCGCTCGTTTGGCAGTTTCATTTAAATTGGGGTCTCACAAGTTGAACAGACATCAATTTGTGGTCAACCAAATCTAAGAAGAGTTTTCTCTAAAAAATCTCGTGTAATAAGGATAACTTATTTTTAACCCAGGATGTTTCTTCTCAAATAAGTCAAACATTATTTTAAGATTTAACTGACTGTCAAGGTATTTAATTTCTTGATTGGAATAATGACTGATTTTAACCGGAAATAATTCGATATTCTGGCTAACGGCCCATTGGACATCTCCTAATTTATTGATACTTGAATTAAGACCACGCAGATCTCTTGGAGATTTTCCGAGAACAGCAAGATCTCTAAGTCTTCTAACTCGATTTATAGTAATAGTAAACACTGAAGTAAATGCATTTAAACAAAATTCAGTTCTAACCGTGCCTCTGTATGTCGCAAACTTCTATTAGTCCTTGCAAAAATATGTCTCGTTTATCTTTAAAATCCCAAGAATAAAAACGTCTTAAATTTTCTTGCAATTCCTCGTTAACCAATTTATCAAAACATTTTTGTTTGCACCTTAGAAAAAAATAGGAAAAATCAATAAATTAACATACGTGAAATTATTATATAAGTAAAATTACCTTCAAGGTGGACCTAACTGTTTATCAGGAATATTATCTCCCTTGTAATTTTTTTATAGTTCACCTTTTGTACATGACATTTTTGTTGGTCATTTTCAGGAACGGCTTTCCTGTTTTTGTGGGTAGTAACTTCGGCACTCGATTCCATTCTACACTATTTTTTAATAACAAATCCATTGAAACAAGAACTCAAAACACACTACGTGTAACGACTATTTACGTAGATTATGATTGAATTTCTCGTAGAAATAACCGATTGCACAGCTGTTGAAGCGCACGCAAATCTGATCTCTTACTCAGCAGAAACTACACATGTCCAGGACTCATGTTGTTTCTGCTGATTACCAAATAAATATATCCTTGACTACTAGCTAAGTTAAATATGGACATGTGTTATTTTGCTGTAGTGCAATGTAATTACGTGCGGATACTCATTCTTTCAAAAACTACATTTACCGAAAAATAGACATGACGTTTCTGCATGTAGCGATTCAATTATTTTGAATAGTGATGTGGCGTCCGTGGAACAATGTGGTTAAAACTATTCCGTACGATAACAGCACTGTTTTTGTAGAAAGTGCCAGCGAAAGTGTCGGTGTGAATGTAATTCCTGAAAAAAAGTAGGTACCCATAAAGAAGATTCGAATGCATTTAAATGTTAAATACGAAACACAGCAAGTATGTTTCATTGTTTGGGAAAGTATGTATTTTTACATTTAATATTTTTTCTGTTACGGTACTGTAATGTGACCTAGTTAAGTGCTGTATTCTAAAGACCTTTTTAAAATATATTATTTCCTGTTATTTCGTAAAACTTAAACTGGCTATTTCATTTATCATGTTTGAAGTACGGAGAATTTGGCTTCTCTTTTGTATGGATCAAAAATATACACACAAGTGTAAAATGTCGTATTACTGTAACAATTAACTTTAAACTATCGCCATTCAAAATCGTCTGACAATAGAATGATTTATTGGTACACCCTCTCGGACCACCACTTAGAGGGTTGCTTAGCTCGGACCATCTCAACGCACTTTACTTCTTTGTAAGACAGTGAAACGCTCAATATACGCATAGACCGGTCTCGTGTTATTAGCCTCGCCGTCCCAGGCCGCGGCGTCGTGATGCCCAGAGACCAACTCTTCAGCCTGGTACGAATATATCAATAGAACCAAAGGGTAAGTCTATATTCTTTGTGCAAACAACGATGATGAGTAAACCGGTTAATTTCATAATTTATTTACAATTGATAGTTGCTATTTTCGC